TATTTTCATCAAGTCTGTTATTGCTTCCTCTGAAAAAATGACATAAGACATATAATTAGAGCAGGCCAATTTACTAATATCTTGTTAGATTATTGACAGTGTACTTTAGAACAGTTTGTTTCAAAATAGCCAAATTTATTATCACATGACAAAAATGATACCCGTCTGTTTTGAATTGTCATGGTTAATTTGCATTTGTATCGTTTTTATTTATACTATGTTTTGGTATTTTGGTTATTTGCCTGGGAATGCAACATTTTGAATTATGTATAGGCAGGTATTTGCTCTATTATAAGAAACTGTTTATGTAAATGCTTCCTCTTCTTTTTTTTCAAAATATAGTTTATGACACATTGTTTTATCCTCTCAAGTAAAAAAAATAGGACCGTTCATTAACAATGGATTAACATATAAGGGCTAACTACTGAAAATGACAAACACTGTATTTTGATACAAGAAATCTGATAACTGAGTAATTCATTTGTTTTCCCCATTGAATCCTATTTTGTAATTTGTGTTAGGTGATTTAGTTTGTGACTCAAATTTGTTTTTCCTGTCTACAATCATGTACAGCAATAGGCAATATATTCACAAAGTATTATGAAGTTCAATTAAACTTAGAGATGAACCATTATTTGTGCAGGGGTGGGGTTATTCATTTGTGCTAAAAAAAAATTCAGTGAGTCTTATATGTGCTTTACTTTATTGAGAACACATAATATTTGCCAGGAGGTTACATAAACAATATATATATATATATATAACATACAACAATATAAAAGTTAAAGGGTGGTGGTTGTGGCACCATGCACGGAATATTGGAATATTGTTGCCTATGTACATTCTTTAAATGTACTCTGTGATCTAAACTCAAAGTCGCAATCTTTGTTCGTATGGGACCCAGCAGCAAACAATTTTGTCTACTGACCACGGATCTTATAGACCCCCATGGTCTAGGGCAAGTACTTTTGTGGTACACACTGCTACCAAAGTTAGCGTCAATTCGTCAATTTTCATGCACAGTGTACTATGTCAGTATTAATCCACGTCAGAGATGGACAAGTAGGCCTGCATACAGTAATGTTTGAATTTGGGTTGTGGTGTATACTAGCTATTCCCTATGAATGAGCAATGTGGAATGACATTTATTGCAATGATACAGAATGTACAAAGTGAAAATAATCTATGAGATCATTGTCAAACACGCCACTCACTCTAGACCATCATGAGGTATAAGAGTTCAGTTGACAAAGTTGATCACTGCATGGGACCCATATCTCCCCCATGATTGGCGCAACAATCATCAGCCGTTAATTATACAAAGTATAAAGTACTACAAAATAATATACAAATTGAGGTATTGCTGTGTTTTATTATTATATTTATGGTTTTCTCAATTATATTGTACACACACAGTCAGTATAAAGCATGTTGTGTACTGTTAATGATAAGATTTGTAAAATTACTTATACTTACAGTTACTGCATGTGCCCATCCCACACCGCATTCTCCCCTCTATACAAATGTACATGTCCCCATCGTTTAGCTATGCTAAAAGTTTAGACAGTCAACATATTCGACAGCTGGCTGGCTTTGTATGTATGTGATATATCCATCATTTTCGGTGATGATTATTTTTTTACCATTTTGAAAATGGTTCACCAATAGTCTGAGAATTTTACATCCTAACAACACGTTCTGTTTTGTTTTGTCTTACGTACAACTCAAAACTACATGTCTGGCTATGGAATGGATGTACATATAACTTAAGTATTGCGGGGCTAAATCCACAGTCAGCCAGCATGTGTATCACTCACGCCGGCTGACTGTGGCTAAATCACTCAAAACTTACCTTGGGTTGTGTAAATATATATCAGCCTGCACACCAAGTAGAAACAACAGTAATACTGTCACGGAATACATGATTTCAGAACGAATGAATTTTAGATGATCACGGCCAGCGCGATCAACTACGATGCCAAAAACAGCAGACTTCGTAAACTCCGAGTCTGTTTTGAAACGGTTCAAAGTTGTGTGTACAGTCACCTGTGAATGAACTCAGTTTCTGTGCCAGTTGAAGGTCATTTGTGCATCCGCGCCAAATAACGTAGTCCCGTAATTCAAACTTTTACATTCATCTAAAATAAATATATTGTTCCGTATCTGGCTTTATTTCTTAAATTCCAAAATAATGGCAAGTGATTTGAATTAGTTAATGTTATATAATAATTATTACTAGTAAGATTAACTTAATCGTAGGGATGATAAGTCAATGACGTCAGTGATTGGGTTTATGAGTAATTGATACCCGGAAGTGTTGGGAACAGTGGAGTCACGAGTCAGCTAAAAAGCGTAGGAGTCGAGATACCCGGGTAATAGTAAACTGTATCACAACATGCAACGCCGTGGCTTTCGGACACGTACTGTTCCATCGTGATACCCTGTTCTGAAAAGTGTGAACGTATTGTTTGTGACTCCCAACTAAACGTAAGTATTCTCTATCAATGTGCTTGTGTTAAAACTCATACTACAGTAGTGAGGTTTCAACACACCGCAACAACACGTCATGGGTGCTAGCGCTACTAAACCGGAGTTGACACGGTTACTAGTAATCCCTGGGATAACCCGTGCATGAAACTCCATACTAGAAAAAGTATGCCAAAGTCCGTTCAAGAGATCTCAAAATCGTATGTAATTAGATTGTTGCTTGTGTACTTTGGTTTCGTCTTTAGGATATCGCTACATATACAAGTTACAAACTGCGAAACTTCTTTTCAGTTTATTCAACAAGTATGAACTCTCCATCTCACTTCAGCAACTACGACTCAGACAAGGATTCTGTGATTTTATTTCACTCAAATCATGCTACTTTTATGTACGTACATGTGGACCATATCAAAGCAAATTTAAAATACAAATTTAAAGGTCAAGTTAGTTTTCATGAATTGTGTATCCCCAGACCCCCCCCCCCCCCTGGCCATGCAATATAACAGTCTCTCTATTACCAAGTAACTTGTGCTTCACTTTAGTTTTAATAGTTTGGATCGTGTTAGATTTTTTTGGACAAGTCAAGTCATGATATGTCCATCATGTATGCACCATATATGGACTGTTTAACATTTCCTGTGTCCAAATTAGAATATTTACTTATTAACACCCACTCAACGGTTTTAGAGAGTACCGGTACTATTCTAAGAATGATACAAAGGCATATGCTGTATTAGTAAGGAGTATGAGTCATTCGTCAAACATATTGTTTCCAGATTTATTCACATAATATAATATAGAAATACCTAATATTTATTTATTTATTTATTTATTTTATTTTCAAGAACCAATGATGAGACTGTGTATGTTTCTAGTGGTAATTGCAACATTTAGTGATGCAGACATTTATCTGCACAATCCACGTGGATCAAATGATAGACTCAATGAACAATCTGCTGCAAGAACTAATGCCAACAGAGTATTTGATTCACAGGTAAGAAATAGTGTTCTCCTTGAAGCATTATAAGAGGCCTAATCAGCTATGACATTTTCCAAAGAAAACTAATATGAACTTCTGTGATACTACTATTCATATCATACGATATAATTACCAAAAACCTATGGTCCAGTCTTACAGTTTACCCCCCCCCCCCCCGTGCATATAATAATAATAACAACCTTTATTGATATCGTATCCCCTCTGGGATCTAGATTAGAATACAATAAGGATATAAGGAACAATAAAATACATAAGGAATAATAATAATAAAAAAAAAAGAAATAAATAGTAATACTGTGAAAATATTATTATATAGATATTTTTTGGTGTTATTTTGAGGCAGCTGGTAAATTGCTTTTCATGAAGTTCTCTCTTTTAGTGAAACAGTCGCTGATAAACTTGGCAATTGCTTGGACAGTTTCAGAATTTTTGTTATTGAGAAATAACAAAACATATATACATGTACTAGTAATCATATTTCAATAAACATTAGTCAGATAAGACCTGTTTTCTACTTATAAACATACTTAGCCAAAAAAAAGTTTTGCTTTTTGTCCTATGGGAAAATTGAAAAAATTATGCAATGACACAGTTTTAATTTTTTTAGCTCCGCTGTTGATTTTGTCAAGTGGAGCTTATCATATGAGAGATTGTCCATCTCCGTCATCCGCGTCAACCTTTTACTTTTTCAACTTCTTCTTGAAAACTACAAGCCCGATGAATATTTTTGTCAGTTTTGGTAAAAAGTGATACCGGTATTTTTGACTTCTTGGAGTAGGTCTATGGCAAGATAATGTGTGAGACGAAGCCAAACACATTATCTCGTCTAGACCCTTATCTGAATTTAATACGACTTCACGGTGGATTCATTATTGTTAAAATCAACATCAAAATTAAGTATATTTTGGTGAATTTTGGGACATTTTGTTGAAATAAATCTATCGGTATTTATAAATAGAGCTTTACATTATAAAAATCACTAATTATGATAGTGTTTATGATAACACAAAATAATGGACAGTCTTTTATTTCAATTTTAATACCCCACAAGGTCAAACAAATTATAAATATGTGCAGCTTTATATGCTTTAAACTCAATGGCTCAAGCATGCAAAAACATGCTTGTAGATAATTTTCCATATAAAAATGACCAGAATTTCTTAACATAAATAAATCATATGATTATGGGTTTCTTGTTTGAATAAT